CCCGACCGTCCCCATCGGCCCGCGAATGGTAATTAGCGATTCCGGGTGAATGGCATGTCTATTTTGGATTAATGTGAAACAGGACTAATAAGATAACTACGACGTTACCGCTATGAAAAACGATCTTCTCGCTTACACGAAGATACGTCCTACTGTCGATCGATGCTTTACAGACTTCAACTCGGTTGCGTGTACGTATATCGTCTTACGGGAAAGGATCGCCATCGTTTCTTCAATGTGGACAGTAGTTAGGTTTGAGAGCGGTGATCGGTCATTGCGACGCCACAGTAATTAACTCTGGTCTAGCTTTACAAGCGAGCGCACAGAGGTTTGAGTCTGCTTTCATGGAGGCGAACTGGGAAAAGAGGCAAGTTTACAAGCCCGCAGCTCAATGCGATTTACATATCGTTGATATTTATATAGCTACAGGTTGACAGTTCGGCAAGGGCGATAATATCCAAGTCGACGTTGCCAGGCGTAACAGGCTGGTTAATAAGCTCTGGGTTAGCTTTAATTATTTATGGGTCCCAGTGCGAGGCGTAAGTTAAGGTAGCGTTTACATGCAATTGGCGAATATTCGATAATTTATTGTCGTTCGTCGCTCACGTGACATAATGTTAAATGGAAAGGAAACGTACGATTGGCTTTAGTACGCGTCACGACCGAGCGTGGCGCTCGGATCGCAAAGCACGAACCTTCTCTCCGAACTCTATTTCGCAAGCGTATTGTGAATCGGATTCACAAATAGCGGAAGTACACCAAGCAGATACGAGCTGCGATCGGAATGACAAATTCGTTAAAGAAAGTGAAAACTACACGGTACGTATCCTGGTACCGTTGTCTGAGAACAAGAGTGCGCGGTCATTACGTTACGGGCGACTGTATAGCGTCACTCGTTGTTGTGACTTTAAGCCGGTGAAAGAGGTCCTTCGGATAAATTAATTATTAGCCAGTGTCACTGTCACGTGTCTTGCATGTCTCCGGAGACATTAGAGTCAACCAAGGAAAGTTTTGGTCCCTGACGAATCGTCTGGCTTAACGGAAGAGTCGCGCTTCGCCGCTTCGCAACTCTAAAACCACTTTAACTGCTTCGCCAGACGAATTTCGGCCGACACGACACCTCGATTAGGGACTTACGCAATAAGTCCATTAGCCCGTAGCACCCTGTTTGGTAATAAAACGTCTTGTGGACTTTAGAACAGAAGAAAGAAAAAACCTTAAAGTCACATAACACACGATGTCTATTAATTTCCCTACCCTTTCAGGTACATCCTCAGCAGACATTTTTTTTCCGCCAGTTCAAAGCCCGTGCAGGTCCCCTCCGAGCTAGCCCACCTCGGGACCTCCGACAGGCCCTCTTCGTAACAAAGTGCGTACTAGAAACGAAATGGGTGCAGACAGAAGACACGTATAACTCATCCAATATGGCCCTGGTAACCCCAAGACTCTGTCTCCCTGGTAAAGTACTGTTATGAGTGACGGGAGCAAGCAACGGCAAGACCTACGGTCGTGTACAGTTTTCCCAGGGCACTTGGCATTCGTCTGGCATGACAAAAAGATCGGTAAGAGAGAAAAGGAGAGAGGGAGAGAGAGAGAGAGAAAGAGGGGCAGCCTCATGAAAACGAGAAATAATATGCTACGTGTACGAGAGACAGATACGATTTCGATGCTATCGCGGCTGAACTTACCAATTACGAGTTCCTTGAACTCTCCTTAGGACTGGTCACTTTGGGAACGTGCTTGTATACGTACGGGTGCGCGTATACGCAAGGAGATACCAATCTTACGCAAGGGAGAGATCAATCCAATTTCTCGGAAGAAGCGCCTCTTGGTCGCGCTATGGAATGTCAGACGCGCCCTGGGTCAATTCAGCGAATTAGGTCGCCTCGTACCGATGTCGATGCTATCCAAATGGCCCGTAACGACTTTTACGAATAATCCTTACAATCCCCGTGACCCAACGACACGACCCGGTAACCTTCTGGCGAACAGCTGTATCCCCTGGCGATTATATTTATTTAATGTAATAACGGAGTTGCTAGAGGCTCGAGCAAGGTGTGATATGGTGCGTATGGTATATGACAAGAACAATGAATAATGCCGAGCAAGGGCGAATCAGCCCTGAGCCACGCGTATACCTCTGCAGCTGTATATATACAGTGATACAGCAAGAGCATTGATACAAAAGTATAAAGAGGATGGTTTTGTACGGATGCTTAGTAATTTTGGATTAAACCGTAAGACGTCCTTCCGCGTTAAACACCGTTGAGTTTGGTAGTCACGAAGCCTACGAAGCCCCGACAGATAGTCTATCGCGTACGAAACGGGAGTTTCAACGTCGAGACGTGACTCCCGGCGCACCGAGCGACGTCACTTTTTCTTCTTTTGTTTTTTACGCCTAACAAAGGTAACAGAGCGTGGGAAGAGGAGCATCGCTATCGGTTTACCGGCCCGCATAGCATTATTAACGTGCGCCTATCGGGTCTACGTTTAAAACGAG